GAATCCTTACTAGACTATCTTGAGAGTGAAGAGAACAGTTTATTAAGTGACAAGCTAATATTATGTAGACTTCGTAAAAGTATGGATATCCGTAAAAAGAAAAATGCCGCAAAAAGCAAATGGCAATATTAAATTTTTTTAAGTGTTAAGTGTGAATATTCGTAAAAGGTGTTGGATGTTGTTGAACACTGTGATTGAAATAACTAATTCATACTTCAGTGCAGTGTAAAAAAGTATTAAATAGGCCATGAGATGACATAAAAATGAGGTTGAATAAATTTAAATACAGGTAGGACTATAGTATTATGAAGGTACAGTATTACAGTACTATTTTTAACAGAATTTGTCTTAACCAGGTTTTCGATTAATCGTGATTTCCATCCCCACCATTATCCCGGACAATCGAGAGTTGACTGTACTTCGGTTTCCCTGGCAATTGTCATTCAACTAAATGCTCCATTTCTACATTTACCATCCAGAGCTGGTACAAATAGGCCAATTACGACCCAAGTACCAAGGGTCTGTCTCACACCACCCTAAGAAATAAAGAAGAGAAGAGAAAGTAAGATGTGTAACTGCTCCACTGTCACCCACTAATTTAAGTATAATTAGAATAATCAGTAACAAAAAATTAAGTGCAGGTAACAAATAATACCAAAGCCAGTGGGACATAGTCACATTCTTGTTTTCAGGAATGGACTTATTCCAAATCTTGATGTTACACAGGATGTGGCTTTTTCTGAGAAATTTTGTTTGTGAGTAGCACGGCGGCAAACTTTGAGAATTCGATCACTGACAGGTCCTGCATGTCGTAACTTAAAAGTAGGCGGTTTCGAAACCCATGCCAAGCAGGTTATCTGTCAGTGTACTGTCAAAAACGACGTTAGGACTTTAAGGGTCAAAGCCCCAAATTGCAGCTAGCTGATTGGAGATCCAGAAATTGTGTAAACCCCAGTTCTCAAAATTACCCAATCAGTGGAATTAAGGGGGAGTGACTTAGCAGAGGAACTGACGTCCAGGGGGCCTCAGTGTTTTCAGACAAAGAGTCACAAGTTAGTTGACAAACAGTTGCCAGTCACCAAGTGCCTGCTTGCTACTCGTAAATAATTCGGAAAC